AATAAGTTTATTCTTGATTAGTTCTTGAAACTTTTCAAGATCATTTAGACTCCCACTAAGCTCTTGACATATAAGATTCTCTTGTCAAGAAACATTTCTTGACAAACAAATATTCAAGAGTTAGTGCAGATTCTTATCAAGACAAACACTTCACGCAATTGGTCTTAGTTGATCTTTGTCTTATCCAAGACATCACAACTTACCAATTTCAAATGTACAAAAGTAAGAACCTTTTCTACTCTGCATTTGATGAGTGTTATAAAACTTCTTAAGATGATGTCACTCAAATCATAATCTTGGAGTACGACTCTAAGACTTGATTTTTGAACGAAGTATGATTCACCTTTTGATTTAACCATGCAATAATTTCTGATTCCTCTTCTTAGCCACACTAGTGCACTAAGGTGTTATTAGAGGATCAATTTCGTCACGATTTCATAATCATAAGTTAATCATAAAACACGCTACTTAAGTACTCTCCCTTCCTTTTAGATTGGAGAAACCTTTTATCTTTCTGCCTAATTGACTCTTCTTATTCGTTCTGCTATACATTGAAACTTTTCAAGGTATTAGAATTATACTTAATCTTGTAAGCATAACCATATTTACTAAACTTTTAGCAAATCATGATGAATATTCTTATCGTTCTTTGCGGTGGACTTGACCTAGTGCATAACAATGCGTACTAGATCTCCTATTCCTTCACTTGACTCACATACTTATGTGAACAAGGAGTTAGTCTAAATTTCCCAAATACGAAGGTTCTCATTCATCACACAATACCAGTTGCATGATTCCAAGTTTCTGTCTAATTGAAACTTGTGTGATGACAATCTTTCCTTATTTGGTAAATTTTGACACTACCACAAATAACATAACTAAGAATCACATCCTTTTCAATATTGCTATCAATAGAAACATACAACCATCAATTTTCACAAATGTCATTGCAATGATAAATAAGACAAAACAAAATTTATTTTATTTATAAAAGTGCGGGGAAAAAAACTTGTCCTTACAATGCAATTACAAATGAAAACTATGTTACTAAACATTTCTAAGCAATCTATCCTAACTCTTAAACAACAGCTCACAAATCTGATCTTCGAATCATGCGATCAAAATCCATTTCTTCGTGATAAGACTTAGCTCACTATTCCTTTAAGCTTCCTTTCTTTTCGTCGATCCTACAAAACATCAAAATGTAATCATATCACATCATGTATTAAGAATCTACAGATAGGAACTTAAAAGAGTTAGATAGTGGATTTTACCTAAAGTAGAGTCATACATCTTCCTCACTTTAGAAACCTTAAATTTTGAAAAATCCCCTTGAACAATTCTTAAAAACTCCCTCCAAAGTTTATAGCTTCCAGAATGATGCATAATAGCTTCTCCCATCTACCAATCAACACATCATTATTATCCCTTATAGGATACGCATTCATAAGTGCAAGAAGCAGTTCTTCATTATTAGGATTGACCTCAATTGCCCTTTCCAATATGCTAATCTTCTTCTCCGATGTTTGTAATCTAGCACCTCTTTGTGGTTGCCTACTTTCAACCTTATCTTGAAAGTTAGCAAATTCTAACCAAAATTTCTCATTATATGGATGCTCCCTAGTCATTATATTGAACTCTTTAGTCTTTCGTAACACCTCATCTTCCCATGATTCTTCAACCAATGAAGAATCTTGACCATTGGAAGAAGTCAACTCATCTGAAAGTGGTACAAAATCTGTACCAAGTTCTGGGGTGGAGTCTTTAGGGGCAATGATTCTAAGGCGTTTAAAGTTCTTATGGTGCTCCAATGCAGCATACTTAGCAGGCTAGTTACGACCTTCGTATCTAAGCTTAGCATCTAATGAATTTACATCATTATCTCCATCAAACCCCCAAATCCTCGTGGTTTAAGAATGGTATACATTGGAGTTAAATCCAGAAGACTTGGTTCCATGGAAGAGTTTATATCGAGTAACATCCATTCTACATTGTAGTAAAAACCATTTTAAAATCAGGATGTTGCAATATAAATCATATATGCAATCCCATTCCAAAACAATCAACAAGAAAAGGGAGGAATAGATTTCAATAAATAAGGTGTAGTCATTTCGTCAAATTGAGAAACCATAATGTTGAGTTTTTACAATATATCAATTCTAATTTCAAAAAGGGGGGAAACAATGAGTTTGTTATTACGGGTGGTTTCCCCCATGTTAATTCAATTGCATATCAGTAGGTTTTACCTGTAAAAGAGAGCCAAAAGCCAAATTATCACGATCACCGCGAGAAGCGAAGTAATATTCCTTGTTTGTAGATGAAGTGGTGGCATTATATGCCCAAGATTGAATATTTTGTTTCCTTGAAGAATATCCATATTCGTAACCACTGTTTGTCGTTCCTTTCTTTGTCTTTCTTTGTTTCCGTTTCTCCTTGTTATTACTGTTGCGGTTATTCCTGTCAATGTCCTGATCTGATGCCGAAGAGTCCACCAAATTGTAACGAGCCTTCGGCCACCTTTCCTCTACTTCTACTGTTGTTTCTTCTTCTTCGTCGTCGTTGGGTTCGGTGTACTGATAGTAGCGAGTAGATACGACATCGTTGATGGTAGAGATGTCGGCGGTGAAGCTGGTGTTGCTGAGCCAGCCTGGAGCGTTGGAATTAGAGGGCTGTAGAGGGTTTATTGGTTCGAAGGCTATTGAGGGGTTTTGATTGAAAACCGAGAACCATGTTGTTGCTGGTTGGAGAGTTTCTTCTCCTAGTGATGATTCATCTGCTATTGTTGCTTTTGCGAGGGTTTCTATTGTAATTCAAATCGGTTCATCCATCCCTTGTACCTCAGGGAAGACCTCACTCTTGAATCAAATATGTTAATTTATTATTTATTTATTTATTTATTTGAATTATAGTTTAATTCTTTTTTACTGTTTTACAAGTTTAAAAAACAATCATCTTTTATTTGTATAGAAAAACGATATATATATATATATATATATATATATATATATATATATATATATATATATATATATATATATATATATATATATAATCATCATTTTTCCAAATTTTTATCTTGATATTTTAATTGGATATAAAGTTCTCCATTAGATGAGGCTTGGATTGAGAATACTCACTTGCATGTGTGGTTATTATGCTTTGTGACACAAGGTGTTTGACATTGTTTTTAGAATGACTTTTAATTTTTTCAAAAAACCAAAATATGTTTGGGTAATAGAAAAGTTCTTTTTAAAATGACTTTTTGTGAGGAAAATGAGGGGTTTCAAAAAGTCACAAAAAACGTGATTTTTTTTATAACTTTTTGTGACTTTACATATAAAAGTTACACCAAAAGTCATTTTGCTAATCCAAACACATTTTAAATAGTTCATTGCAAAAAGTATTTTTGATGTTCAAAAGCAATCCCAAACACCCCCTGGGAGAGAGAGAAAGAGAGGGAGTAATGATGAACATCGAAACCGGGTATCCGCTTTCGGTACCAGAACCGAATCGAAACTGCGGTCCAGGAATCAAAACCGCCTTAAGCGGTTCCAATTCCAGTTCCTAAAATTATGGAACCACCTTAAGCGTGTATATATATATATATATATATATATATATATATATATATATATATATATATATATATATATATATATGGGAAGGCTCATGCAAAATGCAAAGAATAGTGAAAATGCGAGAACCAATAAGAACATGCCACATCATTATTCATGTTTTATTCATTTTGTTTTATTTAAATTATTAATAAAGGGTAAGAAGGTAATTTATATAAAAACGAAATTTAACCGATTCTTCAAATTAATAACCGTAAACATAAACTGCAATATTAAATTAACATTAACTTCTTCATTCTCTTTATGAACGATGCAATAATCTTCATGCAATTAACTCTTCATTTGATTACAAATTCGAATTGAAGAGATGTCTACAAAAGAATTTGAAAAGAATTGTTCTTCTGATTTAAATCGTGAAGAAAATGAATCTTTCAGTGATTTAGCTATTAATGATGGTGATAAAGGCAAGTTTTCAATGATTATAATTACTATATTTTTGATGTTAAAATTCAATATTTATATTTGAAATAGATTACTACGCTATATTTTAAAATACTAATATCTGTTTAATGAAATAACTGAATCTTTCAATCATTCTTCAAATGGAACTTCAACTTCGACAGTAAAGGAAAATCATAAATGCAGGTTTTCATACTTTATATTAAATTGATATATTTATATATAAACATACTTCAATATTAAGCTTTTTGAAAATTTGACAGGAACATCTTACGTAAATCAAGAAGATATGTATATTCAAAAAAAAATCAAACAGATTTGATTCCTAAAAAAGGACAAATTGTGTCAAGTGTAGACGAAGGAATTGAAATGTATAGAAATTATGGAAAATCTGCTGGTCTTGGAATTTAATTAGGAACAACATCATATGGTGACTTCAGTCTAAGAAAAAAACATGTAAGATGCAACAGATATGGACAACCAAGGAAAAAAATCCATTGATACTCTTACATCCAAAAGATTGAAAAAGCAGGAAAGAAAATCATATTCTAAAGTTACAGGATATATGGCTATGATTGGTTTTGATAGAAATCATGCAACAAATACTCTCATTGTATATGCATTTGAAGAAGCACACAACCATCCACTTACTGAATTTAATGAAGAAAGCATATGTTCTCCTAATCATCGATTTAGTATTTTTGATCATGAACTTATTGTTAAAGCTTCAACTATCAACATTGGTGACACTAAAGCACACAAGATACGAACATCATTAAAATGAGGATATGATAATTTGCCAACAACAAATAAGGATTTCAAAAAATTTTGGAGAGATTATACCAATATTGTTGGACCAAATGATGCTCAATGTGTTTTAGACCAGTTGATTATTCGTAGAGATAATTATCAAAATTTCCATTTTGAATATAAGTTAAATGATGAGCAACTAAGTGCTATGTTTTGGGTTGATTAAACATGAAAAGAAAACTACTCCAAGTTTTCTGATGTTATTTCAATGGATGCAACATATAGAACAAACAGGTAAAAGTATATTTCTTACATTATATTATACAATAATTGATATATTTTATAAATATTTTCAGGTACAATATGATATTTGTTCCTTTCACTGCTATTAACAACCATGAAAAGACAATCAATGTTGGAGCAGGAATAATATCAGATGAAACAATTGAATCATACTCTTGGTTATTAGAAGCTTTTTTGTCATCACAAAAGAAGAAACCAAAAATGATTTTGACAGATATGGATCCATCATTAAATTCTTCCATATCAGAGGTGCTTCAAGGATGTACTCACAGATTATGTATGTGGCACATAATGTCAAAAATGCCTTCAAAGGTAATAAATTGGTTTATTTATTCAATTAAATATATCTTATGTAAAAATACTAATATAAAAACATTTTAAATGACAGATTGAACCTGATGTAGTTTCACATTCAGATTTCAAGAAACGCATAAATCAACTCGTTTGGAATATGAATATTAAACCATCAGAATTTGAGAATAAGTGATATATGATGTTGAATGAATTTCATTTGAAGGATAACAAATGGTTATGATATGATCAACAAGAGAGACAAATGGATTCCTTCATATTTTAGAGATACCTATGTGTGGACTTATGAAGACTACATCTCGGTCTGAAAATTCAAATTCATTTTTCAATGTTTTCTCCAGTCCAACAAACTTACTTGTGAACTTTATGTTCAATTTTGACACTGCACTTTCGAAGCAACGTCATGAGCAAAAATGATTGGATATTGCATCAAGAGATACTTCTTCACAACTTTTATTTGCACTTGATCCTTTGAAGATTGAAAAACATACATCATTGGTATACACACGAGAAGCATTCCTTAAAGTGCAGAAACAGATAAAATAGGCATTTTATCAGTTTTTTCAAAAGAGTTCTATCTTTGTTGATGGCTATCAAGAATGCATAATCGTTTACAAAGAAATTAAGTCGAGCAAAAGACCAGAATTTAAGGTTAATGTATATGCTATTTATTAATTATCTTAATTTACAATTATTTTGACTTTCTAATAATATTTGTCTAATTAAATATTATTATTATCTTTCAGCTATCTTTCGATGCACAAGATCAAACAATTGAATATGAATGTTTGCATTTCAGATTTTTTGTAATCCTTTGTAGTCATGCTTTTAGAGTTCTAATAAATTATGACATTTTCAAGATACCTAATAAATACATTTTGGATAGATGGAGAAAGAACATGGTGGATATTGGTTTTCAAAAGATAAACCAAAAATGGCGAGTGTGCAATACATATATTTCGAATCTCTTGCAGGATGCTTCTTCATTTTATGAGAAATGCATTGATCCAGTTATTCATGACAAGGAAAAATTACAAGAATTGGTGAATTCTCTTCAAGAATTAAGTGTAAATTGTGGAAAGGATGTTGCTTCTAAATCAAGTTCAAATCCAATAAAGGAAGTTGTTGAAAATATCATTGGAGCTCAAATTTCAATTGATGTGAAAATCAAAGTACTTAGTGGGATAAAAACAAAAGGAAGTGGAAAGAGGAATCAAATCAAAAGTGTTGCGGAAAAAGCAATAGCTAAGTCTCTTAAACCAAAACGTATATGCAACGGATGCAAGCAATTAGTCAACCATGATCAAAGAAACTGCCCAATAAATCCTTCAAAAGTGCTTAAGCCTTTCAAAAAACAATAATAACTTTATTTTGAATTTTAGTTTTGCATGTACTTATGCTTCTCTATATAAATAATATTAGGATTAAAACTTTGTAACGTTTGAAGTTTATTTTAATATTTATTATGGATAATGTAATGTTTTACTATTTCAATTTCATATGTACAACATATATGAATCTATGATAATAACAACATACAATAAAAAAAATTAAAGACACAAAATATAAAAAGTGTTATATGTTGTATTGCTTTAACAACATAATTTTATCATTTCCATCAATTTACAAATATTTCAGATAAAATAAAAAATAAAGGAGGAGCATATTAACATAAAAAAACAAACGCTATCATAAACTTATTTAATAACATTCATAAAATTATTATAAAACGTTGTTACAAATGAAGCTACAATCGAAACCTTATTGCAAAACACTCAAATAAAAAATAACGCAAAATCAATTCAAAACTTATTGTAATAACAACAAATAAATTTTAATCTCATTTATCATAAGGACAATTCCTTTATAATGAAAACCAATTCTTTTGCAGAACTTACAAAATCTATTTCCTTCAAAATCTTCTTTGCGACTCTTTTGTGCGTGCCTTTTGTTAAATGGATAATTTCTAGAGCTATGATGAACCAACCTTTAATAAAAATTACACAATCTCTTTTGTTTGTTCTTAATCTTATTTTGATGTAAACTATTCATTATGTTGTAAGATATAATTTTAAATTATCTTTAAAACATATATAAGCCACACAACATCCGAAATATATGTTAAGACGTTTTCAATTCAACAACCAATTTTTCATGAATTAATCTACTTTCAATTAAATATAAACATTTTAAACAATTTATAAAAAAATTATTACCTCCTAAATTCTTTCACAAAGTACTTGAATTCGTTTAGAGTTAATAATTAAAATATTAATATATGTTTAAAAAATAGGATAAATATTACAATAAATATACTTAAAATGATTAATACTTAGTACCTATAACCACCTAAAAAGAGGATAAAGATTACAATAAATATACTTGAAATGATTAACACTTAGTACCTATAACCACCTAAATGGGAAATAACTAATTTCTATGCAAATGTGATAGTCAACACATTACATCATTTAATAACTATCATTATTACTGATATATATCCCGTTTAATGATAATGTAAATATTAAAAGATATAAGATTAGTCAATATATATTATATTCTAATTTTATAATTACCACAAAAACCTATTTTATATATATTTCATATTTGTTTTTTGAAAAAAAATATTAATGAAAAAATAAAAATTAGAAATTTTATCTATACTTTTAGGTTTATTTCGAAGCACAAATGTAAATTACACATTTATTAAAAAGATATAAGAATACTCATAACTTGAATAGTCAAATCGTATTAATTACAGTAAATAAAAACAATCATTTTACTTAAAAACATTAACTCTCATCCATTTAAAGAACTAGCAATATATATTAATTACTTTTTAGAATTCCTATAATACCTACATTATACATACGAACTTAGGGAATATGTGGTTGTCATGTACTAAGTTTATATATAGAACCCTCCAAACAATGTAGTTTTGATCCATTTATATCCAAACAAATTATGATATCTCTTTTACTATTCTTCATTAATCATGTGACTTACTAAATCGATCAAATTTATGTTCTTTTTCTTCATTGTGTCTAAGAACTTAAAGCATTAAAATTTGTGACAATTTAATCAACCCTACTAAATTCTAAATGAAAACTAATAGAATAAAAGATAAAAGAACATGTCATAACTCAATCAAACTTTTTACAAAATCATTGGATATAATTTTTCAATTGAAAGACAAAACACTTAAGTTATATTCGTTAAAAAATATTGGTTTTTTATTTTCTCTATAAAGTTCAATAATTATTTGCAATATATATATATATATATATATATATATATATATATATATATATATATATATATATATAATTGATCTTTTTCATTTCATAATTGAACTTAATTCAATGGTATTCTATTAAAACAAAACTAAGAGAAAATGAAATTGGATTTGTTTTGTTTAAAACTACATCGTTTAAAAGGTTTTATACCTAAGCTTAGATACATAACAACCACATATTCACTTTTCCCTATACATATTTCATATTTTTTATTTGAAAAAAATCTTATATTAACTGTTTATAAGAATGCAATATATATTTATTAATTTTTATATTTCAAACATTACATTTTTCATTAATATTGCATATTTACTTTTTGAAAAAAATTATATTTTTAAAATATAAAATAATATTTTTTTTATTCAAACTTAAAGAATCAATGAATTAATACTATATGGTCACATCGAATAATTACCAACAAAAAATTAATTATTTTTACTTAAAAAAATCATATATCATACATTTAAATGATTTGCGATATATATTTATTAATTTTATACTCCCTACAAAAACTATTTCAATAATATTTCATATTTCTTTTTTAAAAAAAAATAATGAAAAAATAAAAATAAGAAATTTTAATGTATATTGATTACTTTTAATAATCTCTACAATACATATATTATACATATTTCATATTTCTTATTTGACAAAAATCTTATATCAACCGTTTAAAAGAATGCAATATTTATATTTATTAATTTTTATATTTCAAACATTACCTTTTTCATTAATATTGCATATTTACTTTTTGAAAAAAAAAAATTTAAATAAAAAGTAATATTCGTTTATTAAAACTTAGAGAATCAATGAATTAATACTAAATGGTCACATCGAATTGGTTATATATATATATATATATATATCAATACATAGTTTATATAAATTGCACATTCATTTTTTTTAAATGACAATATTTAAAAATTACAAATTAAAGAAAGGATAAACATTATAATATAGACTCTATACTTTATATGATTATCTAATACCCTATACCCACCAAAATAGGAGAAAATTCTTATCTATGCAAATGTTGTTAGACAATTAATTACCACATTTAATAGCTACAATTACTATATATATATATATATATATATATATATATATATATATATATATATATATATATATATATATATATATATATATATATATATATATATATATACTAGCCGTCTACCTGCGCAAAGCGGCGGGGCACGTGAGTTCTTTCGGTGATATGTTTCCATTACAAAATTGTTATGTTAAAAAAAAGTACATGTTGAAGACAATATAATCAAACTATGGTGTTATTTGTTACATCATGCATCAAATAACCAATAAAAAGCAACCAGTCAAGACGACACAAAATATTAATCGTGCAATACTTCTTTATACACCACATTTGCTGTATAAACCCCATCACCTTTTGAATTTTCGTTAGGCTTTACTAATACTTTTGTATTGCAACGTGAAACCCCTCTGGACAATGCAACATAAAGTTGTCCATGCGAGAATACTGGTTCTGGAAGATAGATACCTACATATGGAATTGTTTGTCCCTGAGCTTTATTGATTGTCATTGCAAAGCACAATCGAATAGGAAACTGTTTCCTCTTTAGCTTGAATGGGAACATATCATCATCAGATGGACATAAAGGAATCTTAGGCAAAAATATCCTTGTTCCTGCATGTTGACCAACAGCTATTTCTGCATCAATAACATTTTGCTGAAAGCTTCTACATATCAATCGGGTGCCATTACACAACCCATTTGCTGGGTCAATATTCCGTAACAGTATTATCGGACATCCAACTTTTAATCGAAGGTAATGCGGAGGTAAACCACTAACACTGATCGAGTTTAAGAATTCCAACGGATAGAAGCCATTTTTATCATCTATGGCTTCATCGACACTATAGTAAATTCTCTCTTCTCCTTGAAATCGATCGATCATGTAATCGTTAATCGCATCGACACTATCATTTTTTGTAGATAATATTGCCCGCGATATGATATAATCTGATTCAGACCTATTAAATTCCAATGAGGGAAACACTGCATCAATCAAAGAATCTAATGATTTTTCTTTATCAGTGTATGGAATGACCATATCATTAGGGATGCGAATAAAACTTCCGTCCACTGTTTCTTCAACTCCATCACCAACCCGTAATAGAAAGTTTGAGAACCATGGATCAGTAAGTGCTCTCATATTTATTGTTAACCGCAACTTTATAATCGAAGACCAAAGAGGTGACATTCGTAGGCTAGAGTCTACGATTTGTGCTCGTGTCCCATGTCTTACGACTGGCAATACTTGTCTAAAATCGCCTCCCAGAACCATTATCTTTCCACCAAAAGGGAGTGCCACCCCAGTGATATCTTGCATTGTCCGATCAAACGCCTCCACCACCTGTCGCTTTGCCATCGATGCCTCATCCCATATGATTATTTTTGCAAGCCGAAGTAGTTGAGCGGTACCGCTTTGTTTTTGGATTCTACAGAATGAGTTATTATCTGGAGTTAGAGGAAGTTTGAAACGCGAGTGAGCTGTTCTCCCCCCAGGCATGTTATTAGCCGCAACAACCGATGAAGCTGTGGCGAGTGCAATATGACCAAGTTTGCGTATATTAGCAAGTAAAGCTTTGTACAGATATGTTTTTCCTGTTCCGCCAGGACCATCTATGAAGAACACTCCTGTACAATCAGTACACACATGCCTCATGATCTCATCATACACATATTTTTGTTCAGGATTGAGAAACTCTTTGGCACGCAAATGGTCATCTTCCACAATTATAGAGCATTCTTCTTGTACCTCTCGAAAAACTCCAGACTGAAAATTCAAATCGGTGTTTACAGTCGGGAGATCAAAGTTATCAAGCTTGTTACCCATAGATTGTAGGAATACGCTTATGTCTGTAAGGACCATATTTTGTACTCGATTGACATTATCGTATTGTCTACTATAATCTTCGGAGAGAGAATTGTAGTGGGAATTCCATATCTTGCGAACATCTCCAGGATCACAAAAAACTAATATCGTTGCAAACAACCTTCTGAGAGCATTTGGAAACTGAAA